AGTGTAGGTTCAATGTTGCTGTGAGCTGCCTTGGGTCCGTTGGGAGAAAGGGGAGATAGAAATACCCAAAATAAATAAACAATAAAATAAATGTGATCCTGTTTTAATGTTCACATATTTGTATGTTTCAAATAGTTATGCTGAGGCTTTTGCATTAAGCCACTTAGAGTCCCCTTCGTGGGAGATAATGGGGGTATAAATATATATTATTTATATGGTAGGGACGAGGGAGAGGGCCTGTTCAGTAGTGGCCCGCCAGCTCTGGAACGCCCTTGCCCAGGGAGATTAGACAAGCTTCCATGCTATCCATTTTCCAGAAGGAACTGAAAACCTGGTTATTCAAATGGGCGTCTGAAAATGGGTAAACTTAATACCACCCAACAGTCAGAGAAATTAGATAAATCTAAAATTTGATCAGTTTCTTTTTGCTTGAACAATGGCTGAGATTTTTAATGAATGGTGTTTTATGTGGTTTTAAAATGTATTATTTTATATTGTTTTGCCTCATTATTAGCTGTTGATTTAATTTAAATTGTATATATTTATGCATGTTGTTGTCAAGATGATTTGTATAATTATATTGTTGTGAGTCGCTCCATGTCCCCTCAGGGAGATGGGGCAGGATACAAATAAAGTTTATTATTCTGGCAGAAGAAGGCTTGGACTGGAGAGCCTTTAAAGGGAGGAAGGGGCTCCCTTTGACATCTAGTTGTATGACACTAGGGTAGGCCTGGGTCAACTTTGGCCTTCCCTACAGGTGTTTTGGATTCCAACTCCCATAATTCCTAACAGCCGGCTGCTACAAATTGTGGGAGTTGAAGTCCAAAACACCTGAAGGGAAGGTCAAAGTTGGCCCAGACCTGCACTAAAGTGAGGAGTCTTCCACACTAGAGCATAATAATAATAAATAATTCAAATATATATTCAAATAATACATAAAATAAACATCAGTGTGAACTTATAATAACTAACCAAACAAATAAATACTTAAAAACAAATGGGTAGGCCTCATCAGCCACAGTTACATCATGAAATCTCAATAAATTAAAGTGCTTTAAAAGTGTAAAATGATGAAGAAGATGTTAAATATGATATACCACAGTCAACAGCACCAAAGTGAATTTCCAGTGTCCAACACATTTACATTTTGAAATGTTCTACCCCTCCCCCTCTCTATATGCTAAAGTGCAAAGATGGGTTTTTAAGAGTTTTTTGAAAGAGAGGAGAGAGGGGGGCATTTTTACTTCTTTAGGGAGGGAGATGAGGCTAGTAAAATATGTATTTATTTATTTATTCTGCATATTTGTATCCTGTCCTTCTCACCCCCGGAGGAGGTGGACTCAGGGCGGCTACACAACAGGCATTCATTCAATGCCAAAAACAGTAATACATGATAAAAGCAATTAAAACTATTTGTTAAAACTGTACAATTACTAAAACATTGTTTTAATCATGCAAGTTTGAAATCATAGCCAAGTCAGTCCACTATCATCACACAAATTGGGTTTCATTCTAAATTGTTGCCTCTACTGTTTGAATGCTTGGTCCCATAGCCGGGTTTTGAGTTTCATCTAAAGGATAAGAGGGAGGGGGCAATCTAATGTCACTGGTTAGAGAGTTCCAAAGGCGAGGGACCACCACTGAGAAGGCCCTGTCTCTCATCTCCACCAGTCGCTTTTGCAAGGATGGACCTGAACTGCTCAGGGCTTTATAAGCAATAAGCAGTACTTTGTATTTAGCCCAGAAGCAGACTGGCAGCCAGTGGAGCTGCCGTAACATGGGAGTTGTCCGCTCCCTGTATGGCTCTCGTTAGTAACCTAGCTGCCAATCTTTGTACCAGCTGAAGCTTCCAAACTATCTTCAATGGCAGCCCTGCATAGAGAGTGTTGTAGTAGTCCAAACGGGATGTGACTAAGGTGTGGACCACCATGGCCAAATCTGGCGTCTCAAGGTATGGGCGCAGCTGGCACACGTTTTAACTGTACAAAGGCAGTCCCGGCCACTGCCGACACCTGAAGTTCCAGGTCTGCAATGAGTCCAGGATCACCCCCAGACAGTGAACCTGTATCTTCATGGGGAGTGTGACCCCATCCAACACAGGCTGTATCCCATATCCTGATCCACTTTCGAATGACCAAGAGTACCTCTGTCTTGTCTGGATTAACTTTCAATTTATGAGCCCACATCCAGTCTATCACTGATGACAGGCACATGTTCAGGGGCAGGATGGCATCCTTGTCTTTCAGTGGAAAGGAGTAATAGAGTTGGGTGTCATCGGCATAAATTTGACACCGAACTCCAAAACTCTGGATGATCTCTCCCAGCAGTTTTGTGTAGATATTAAACAGCATGGGGGACAGGATGGAAACCCAAGGAATCCCACAAGCAACCAGCCAGAAAGTCGAACAGGAATCCCCCAACTCTACCATCTGGGTCCACCCCTCCAGGAAGGACGGGAGCCACTGTAAAACAGTGCCTCCCAATCCCATCCCAGAGAGGGCCACAGAAGGATACCATAATGATGTTAATTATTATTGTTATTTGATTTTTTTCATGTCAGCTGCAACCTGAGAAACTGCAACTTGCTTCTGATGTGAGAGAATTGGCCGTCTGCAAGGACATTGCCCAGGGAACACCCGGATGTTTTGATGTTTTACCATCCTTGTGGGAGGCTTCTCTCATGTCCCCGCATGGGGAGCTGAAGCTGACAGAGGGAGCTTATCCGCGCTCTCCCTGGATTCGAACCTGCGACCTGTCGGTCTTCAGTCCTGCCGGCACAAGGGTTTAATCCACTGCGCTGCTGGGGGCTCCTAGATTATTAGTAGATACATTACAAGATCTGGACACAGCAAACAAGATCACTATGCTGGCTTTTGTATTTTGTCACATGTTCGACACTTCGCAAGTGTCTAGGACTGTGTGATGTATCGGCGAATAATGAGTGCAGATCCAAGTAGGGTGGCCTTTTGCAGCTGACAGATGGTAATTTTGTCAGTGCTGATTGTTTTTAAGTGCAGACCAATACATTTAGGCACTGCATCCTATATGCCAATTATCACTGGGACCACCTTTACTGGCTTGCACCAGAGTTGTTGTTATTCCAAGTGCTCTGTGGGCCTCCAACTCCCAGCATCCCTGCCCATTGAAGAAGCCAGCAACGGCTTCTGGGTGTTGGGAGTCCCTTCAATCCCAGTCTACTCCCTTGTTTAAAGAGCTCCACTGGCTGCTGTTCATTTCCTGGGCCCAATTCAAGGTGCAGGTTTTTACCTACAAAGCCCTGAACTGTTTGGGACCCGCCTACCTTCATGACTGTATCTCCTTCTATGTACCCGCACAACCCCTTTGATCTTCTGGGGAAACCCCCCTCTTGCTTCCTACTCCACCGCAAGTGCAAGTTGTGGGGACCAGGGAGAGGGACTTCTCTGTGGTGGCCCCTCTGCATTGGAACTCATTACCTGGTGAGATTAGGCAAGCACCCACCCTGGCAGCCTTCAGGAAAAGCCAAAAAACCTGGCTGTTCCAGTGTGCTTTTGAGGAATGAATGCAAATCCCCATACCACAACCAGCTCAGTATAATATGCCCTTCAGTGCACTTTATCTCATCATTTAGTGCAGTAGTTCTCAACCTGTGGGTCCCCAGGTGTTTTGGCCTATAACTCCCAGAAATCCCAGCCAGTTTACCAGCTGTCAGGATTTCTGAAAGTTGAAGGTCAAAACATCTGGGGACCCACAGGTTGAGAACCACTGCTTTAGTGAAACTCACCCCATCAGAACTCTCCCACCAGGCACACTACCCTACTCACCCATCTCAACCAGAGTTTTTATATTTTATAATTTTATTCTTTGTAACTGGCCCAGCCCGCTATGCTCATTTAACTATTTTATTTTCATTTCCTGTGTTGACTTTGTATTAGATTGTTGTTTATTTTTATTTGATGTTATTATCTGCTGTATGTACTTGATTTTGATTTGTTGTAATTGTTGGGCTTGGCCTCATGTTAGCCGCTCCGAGGTTGTATTATTATTATTATTATTACTACTACTACTACTATTATTATTATTATTATTATTATTATTATTATTATTATTGCTAGCTGTCCCCTGCCATGCGTTGCTGTGGCCCAGTCTGGTAATCTGGAAAATAAAATAATGAGAAAGTGATGGTTTCTAATTTATGTAATTTTTATGCTTGTGGGTAAGCAGTATTTTTTTGCTGTTTGTCAGTGTTGATGTAGAGATTGTCTGGTTTGCCTACTATGGAACATGCAACATATAACTGTCCTTTTTAGGGGGTCCCTTTCAAATCTATGATACTATATCTCTGTGTGTGTGTGTGTGTGAATCTCAACAGCTGGATGGCTCTTTGTCAGGAGGACTTTGATTACGTTTTCTTGCCCTGGTGAAGGGAGTTGGACTGGATGGCCTTAAGTATTTTCTGTTAGTCATGGGGGAAGTTTCCCCCAATGCTGTCATTGGTGGGATTCAGAATGCTCTTTGATTGTAGGTGAACTATAAATCCCAGTAACTGCTACTCCCAATTTTCACAGTGTATTTCCCCCAAACTCCCTCTGTGTTCATATTTGGGCATGTGGAATATTTGTGCCAAGTTTGGTCCTGATCCATCATTGTTTGAGGCCACAGTGCTCTCTGGATGTAGGTGAACTACAACTCCCAAACTCCAGGTCAATGCCCCCCAAACCCTTCTATTTTCTGTTGGTCATGGGAGTCCTGTGTGCTACGTTTGGTTCAATTCCATCATTGGTGGAGTTGAGAATGCTCTTTGATTGCAGGTTAACTATAAATCCCAGCAACTACAACTCCCAAATAACAAAATCGTTTTTTTTTTTTAGTGATGGGTCACTCCTTGGGTTAGTAGGTGTCTTGTGGCCAAATTTGGTGTCAATTCGCCCAGTGTTTTTTGAGTTATGTTAATCCCGCAAGCGACCATTACATTGTTATTTATAGAGATGAGGGTGATTCTTTCCGAGGCCAAAGCTCACCTTGAACTCTCGGCTGTGCTGCGGGGTGTACTCCAGGGTCCAGAGGGCCCGGACCAGGTGGGCCAGCTGCTCCGTGACCTCGCCCCCGCTGCTGGGGGCTCGCTCTTCCTCGGGGAGAGGCGCTTCCTCTGCTTCGGAGCCTCCTGTTCCCGTTCCCGTCCCTCCTCCCTGCGTGGCCCTGTAGTGCTCGAGGGCCAAGTACTCAGCGAAGAGCTCCGTGTTGCTGAGGCACTGCAGGACGGCGTTCATGAAGCAAGTGTTGCCGTGGTTGCGGAGGCCCGAGACGCCGGGGACTGCCGTAGAAGCCGACGCCGAGGAGGACGACGACGATGGCGGGGGAGGAGCAGGAGGAGGGGGCGGCGGTAGGGGGGCCTCTGGAGGCGGAGAAGGAGGCGGCGGCGGCGGGGGAGGCGTTGGCTCAGGCTCCGGGCTGGGCTGGAAGCAGCGCCCCAAGCCGTGCTGCGACGAGGCAAGGCCGCTGCTTGCTCCACCCGCGCTAGGCCCGAGGTGCGAGAGCGTCGAGAGGGTCTTGAGGACGCGGCTCATGAAGCCGCCTAAGGAACGAGGCCCCGCCGGAGGAGAAGGAACGGAGGAGGAAGGGCCGCTTCCAGAGCCCGCCCGGCCTCGGAACAGCAACCTTTTGCTGAAGGAGCGCTTCTCCTTCGAAGGCGCCGCCGGCGCCGCCGCCGCCATGGCTCCGCTCAGCCGCCCCGACATCTTGGACTTGAGGCCTACTCGCAGAGCCAGAACAGGCCTCGAGTAGGGTTACCACCACCCGGCGCCTCAGCCGCATCGTGAGGCCTAGTCCGGCCGCAAGCCTGGCTCTCCTCCGGTCATCGTTAGACCGAAGAGCCGCCGCCACCGCTGAGGCTGCTCCGGCTGAAGCGGCGGCGGCGGCGGCCCTGGAAGAAGAGGAGGAGGAGGAGGAGGAGCCAGGGAGGAGCCCGGGAACCCGTCCGCGCCATCTTGGGTCAGGGTGGCGCCCGGCTACTGCTGAACAACGGGCGCCATCTTGTCTTCTGGCAAAGGGCGGGTGTTTTCCTGCTCTGCCTCGGCCCAGGAGGCGCGCCATCTTGGATCAGGGCAAGACCCTGCTACTTCTGGGCCACGGGCGCCATCTTCACTCCTGGCAAAGGCCTTGCCCGTTTCTCCACCTCCTTTCGGAGGGGCGGTGGCAGCCCAAGAGCCACCATCAAAAGAAGCCTCGTTCCCGTTGGCTCCCCTCCCTTTAAAGTACACTGTGAGGGGGGAAAGCCCCGGCGAAGAAGCCGGTCGTGAGCTTTATCCTTCGGGTTATAGCTCGGAAGGGCGACGGGGCCTCCGAGGGCTCAAAAAGCTGTGGCCCAGAAGTGAAGAAGCAGAGTAGCAGAGATCCATATACATATGTGCACTGTCTATGTGCTTGTTGTTGTTGTTCATTCGTTCAGTTGTCTCCGACTCTTCGTGACCTCATGGACCAGCCCGCGCCAGAGCTCCCTGTCGGCCGTTACCACCCCCAGCTCCCTCAAGGTCAGTCCAGTCACTTCAAGGATGCCATCCATCCATCTTGCCCTTGGTCGGCCCCTCTTCCTTTTGCCTTCCACTTTCCCCAGCATAATTGTCTTCTCTAGGCTTTGCTGTCTCCTCATGATGTGGCCAAAGTACTTCAACTTTGTCTCTAGTCTCCTTCCCTCCAGTGAGCAGCCGGGCTTTATTTCCTGGAGGATGGACAGGTTGGATCTTCTCGCAGTCCAAGGCACTCTCAGAACTTTCCTCCAACACCACAGCTCAAAAGCATCGATCTTCCTTCGCTCAGCCTTCCCTAAGGTCCAGCTCTCACGTCCGTAGGTGACTACAGGGAATACCATGGCTTTGACTAGGCGGATCTTTGTTGCCAGTCTGATGTCTCTACTCTTTACTATTTTATCGAGATTGGACATTGCTCTCCTCCCAAGAAGTAAGCGTCTTCTGATTTCCTGGCCAGTCTGCATCTGCAGTAATCTTTGCACCTAGAAATACAAAGTCTGTCACTGCCTCCACATTTTCTCCCTCTATTTGCCAGTTGTCAATCATTCTTGTTGCCATAATCTTGGGTTTTTTATGTTTAGCTGCAACCCGGCTTTTGCGCTTTCTTCTTTCACCTTGATTAGAAGGCTCCTCAGCTCCTCCTCGCTTTCGGCCATCAGAGCGGTGTCATCTGCATATCTGAGGTTGTTAATGTTTCTTCCAGCAATTTTCACCCCAGCTTTGCATTCATCAAGTCCCGCACATCGCATGATGTGTTCTGCATACAAGTTAAAAAGGTTGGGTGAGAGTATGCAGCCTTGCCGTACGCCTTTCCCAATCTTGAACCAGTCTGTTGTTCCATGGTCAGTTCTGACTGTTGCTACTTGGTCCTTGTACAGATTCCTCAGGAGAGAGACAAGGTGGCTTGGGATGCCCATACCACCAAGAACTTGCCACAATTTATTATGATCCACACAGTCAAAGGCTTTAGAATAGTCAATGAAGCAGAAGTAGATGTTTTTTCTGAAACTCCCTGCCTTTCTCCATTATCCAGCGGATATTGGCAATCTGGTCTCTCGTTCCTCTGCCTTTTCTAAACCCAGCTTGAACATCTGGCAACTCTCGCTCCATGTATTGCTGGAGTCTTCCTTGCAGGATCTTGAGCATTACCTTACTGGCATGAGAAATAAGGGCCACTGTACGGAAGTTTGAGCAGTCTTTCGCATTTCCTTTTTGGTATGGGGATATAAGTTGATTTTTTCCAGTCTGATGGCCATTCTTGTGTTTTCCATATTTGCTGGCATATGGCATGCATCACCTTGACAGCATCATCTTTTAAGATTTTAAACAGTCTGTGTGCTAGGGCTTTCATATTGACATTTATTTATCATGTCAGGATACACACACATCTATACACATAATACACACATACATATTTTCACTTTTATGTGTATAGATAGAATATATATATATATATATATATATATATATATATATATATATATATAGAATAAATTACTGTCCTCCCTGAGGGTTAAACTGCTGAGCTGCTGAACTTGCTGACCAAAAGGTCAGCAGTTCAAATCCAGGGAACAGGGTGAGCTCCCGTTGTTAGCCCCAGCTTCTTTCAACGTAGCAGTTCAAAAAAATTCAAATGTGAGTAGATCAAATATGCGGGAAGGTAACAGCACTCCATGCAGTCACGCCGACCACATGACCTTGGAGGTGTCTATGGACAACGCCGGTTGTTCGGCTTAGAAATGGAGATGAGCACCACTATCCCGAGTCAGGCACAACTAGACTTAATGTCAAGGGGAAACCTTTACTTTACCTATACACACACAGGGAAAGGGCATCAGTGGAAAACTAATGCAAAACATGTAAATAAGTCACACACATACACAAGGAAAGGGCACTGCTGGAAAACTAATACAAAAAGCATGTAAATAAGTTAGAAATCCAAACACACACAAAAATCTCACACACCTATGAAATGTCACAAATTGAAACCACAACCCCAATGTCACTGAAAAGCAAATGTTGCATCTACACTGAAGAGTTAATTCAGTTTGGCCCCACTTTCCACAGCCTTGGCTCCATGTTGCTCTGACTGGCCCCAAAATGTTATCATAGTTATAATGCCTTGAGGGAGGATGATATGCAAATGCTCAGCAAACAATGAGAAAAATGTTTGGATCATAATGACCTAAATTTAGGACTATTGGCACACAATAGCTGGTATCTCTTATTACTTTTGTATAGGTTTCATGGCAGAGCCTTTGTCCTGAATAGTAATGTGGTGTATCTGAATCAATGGTCACTGCACATAGCTCAGGCACGAGCAAACTTCGGCCCAGCAGTGTTTTTGACTTCAACTCCCACAACTCCTGGAGAGCCAAAGTTTGCCCGTACCTGGCATAGCTGCTTATCTCTTTTGCCATGGTCCTGTGCAAATGCATAGAGGCAATGCATACTCTTCTGCATTCTTTTCTGTGGCATAGAGATTTTGTGCTGCTATCAGCTGGGTACAACCATTGTGCAAATCCAAAACAGTCATTCCAGATATGTCGCACGATAGACTCCTATATACCTGCAAGGCTATTCAGCGCTAATCAAGGGGCCAATTGCAACATTCACACTTGCCTCCAACAGACAAGATTTCTTTCTCCCACCCTGGACATTCCACAGATATATAAACCCCACATGGCCAGACAGCCCAGAAAACTGACAGCAACCTATTAATATTATTGTTGTTGTTGTTACTATTACTATGCACGTTGTGCCCTACCTTGAGCTGTAAGGAGTGGCAGGTAATAAATGTGTGTGTGTGTGTGTGTGTGTATACATACACATACATACATATTGTTATTGTTGTTGTTATTAGATGCACAACAATATTAGTACACAGCAAACAAGATCACTAACTGGCTATTATTATTATTATTATTATTATGTTGTGTCTCATCTCAAGCTGTAAGACAGGGGTCCTCAAACTTTTCAAACAGAGGGCCAGGTCACAGTCCCTCAAACTGTTGGAGGGCCAGATTATGATTTGGAAAAAAAATGAATTCCTATGCACACTGCACATATCTTATTTGTAGTGCAAAAAACCACATAAAAACAATACAATAATTAAAATGAAGAACAATTTTAACAAATATAAACTTATTAGTATTTCAGTTGGAAGCAGGTTGACCCTTAGGTTGACCCTGAGCAAGGGCTGGGTAAATGACCTTGGAGGGCCATGTCCAGCCCACGGGCCTTAGTTTGGGGACCTCTGCTATAAGGAGAGGTAGGTAATACATTATTATTATCATCATCATCATCATCATCATTGGAGTTATAGTTTGACAAGGCATTTAGCCTTGTCTGACAAAGAGAGCTGGTACCTCATCAAAGTATATCTCCCAGGATTTCCTAGAACCATTACAGTAAAGTGGTTTCAAACTGTATTCATTTTATAGTGTAGATGCACTCTTGGAGGCTTTTCTCCTTTTCCTGGAATCCACTTCTGTCCCACTTTTGCTTGGCATTGGGTAATTTTTGGAGCCACAGAGCAACCAATACATTGCTCAGATTCTTCCAAAGTCTGCCAAAAACATAGAGACTAATCCGTATTTTTGGATCTTGTCCAAAACTGTAGTTCCAAAAAGTAACTTTTCCAAGCGGGGCATGACTGCAGACCTCTGGGCATGCTTCCTTCATTTGTAAATTTGAACGGAATGCTTCATATTTCTTAATATTGAAAGAGTTGGCTGCACAAGAGCCAGCCAGCCTCTCCTTGCCTTCTGTCAACAGATGGCACTGCGGGATTATCAGACCGATTTGCATATTTGCATATGCAGTCAATGCAGGAATTAACATCTCAAAGGCACAAGCAGGAGAGTGGGTTTGCAACAAAAGCAACACAAAAAGTCTTTTGCAGCATGGAAGAGATTAACAAGCGATGGGGCCATTGTAAAGGCCTCAAAACAAATGTACACTCTTGACACACAAAGGCAAGTAAACAATGGCAGGCATTCACTGATCTCATCTGGATTTGCAGACATTCCCAGCCTTGTCTGGGTTTTGTTAACATCCCAGCGGATGCCAAAGCAAAGCCGCAGAAAGCCGATGGTCAGCTGCAGTTTGGACAAGGGGAAACTATGCCAACAAATACCATCCATTCAGACATGAAAACAGTCACATGTCATTATATCCCAGGCATAGGTAGTCCCTGCATGGGGAGCTGGAGCTGACAGAGGGAGCTCAACCCACTCTCCCTGGATTCGAACCGCTGACCTGTTGGTCAGCAGTCCCGCCCGCACAAGGGTTTAACCCATTGCACTACCAGGCTAATTCTCTCACACCAGAAGTGACTTGCAGTTTCTCAAGTTGCTCCTGACATGAAAAAAAGTCCACACACAGTCTTGCCAGAGAAAGAAAATACGCCACGCAGATGATCATTAAAGAACAAGTAGTTACTCTTTGTAATAGAATAACATATATAGAATCATGTGATCTGGGTTGTTGTAGGTTTTTCAGGCTATATGGCCATGTTCTAGAAGCATTCTCTCCTGACGTTTCACCTGCATCTATGGCAGGCATCCTCAGAGGTTAGATGCAGGTGAAACGTCAGGAAGGAATGCTTCTAGAACATGGCCATATAGCCAGAAAAACCTACAACAACCCAGTGATTCCAGCCATGAAAGCCTTCAACAATACATTGATCGAAGCCTTGATGTCCTAACACTTTCGTTTTTATAATCTTGTAAGCCGCTCTGAGTCTCCTTCGGTGTGAGAAGGGCAGCATATAAATGTTGTAAATAAAGAATAATGTGATCAGTTGCATTGACTCACATAAAGTCCTTTTAGAGAGATTTAAAATGGTCATTTTTTGTCCATGAGGAAAATCTTCCTCTGGCAGCTCATGAAGCAGGAGCACACTCCAAACTTTCTCTCTACAAGCACCTGTACAGCTCAAGCCTGAAAAATGTAACACTATCCAAAAGTCCCAGGCTCAGCTAGCTCCCCCGGGGAATATCCCAACCAATCAGCTCTGTGCATCTTATTTTACAGTTGACACACACATACTAACTGATTTCTTACATGCCCTAACAAAGGTGCATTGGTTGCTAAACCATTTGTGTGATGGAAAGAGGCAACAGAAGTCTTCAATGGACACCAACAAAGACAGTCCCATCAGAACAACTAGTGCTTGGCTGATAACTTCTTACTAATTCACAGTGGAAAACGTCTTGATAAGAAAGTATTGATGAGAAAACATCTTGATAGATTGTTGCAATGCTCTCTATGTGGGACTGCCTTTGAAGACTGCTCGGAAACTTCAACTAGTCCAACGGGTGGCAGGTAGACTACTCACTGGAGCATCATACAGAAAGCATACCACCCCTCTGTTATGTCAGCTCCACTGGCTGCCGGTCCAATTCCGAGCACAATTCAAAGTGCTGGTTTTGACCTATAAAGCCCTATATGGCTCCAGCCCAGGTTACCTGTCTGAACATATCTCCCTCTACGTCCTACCTCAAACTTTAAGATCTTCTGTGGAGGCCCTGCTCTCGGCCCCGCCTTTGGCGCAAACACACTTGGTGGGGACAAAGGACAGGGCCTTCTCGGTGGTGGCCCCTTGCCTGTGGAACTCGCTCCCCAGCGAAATCAGGTCAACAACATCCCTCCTCGTCTTTAGGAGGAAATTGAAAACGTGGTTATAAGACCAGGCCTTTGGGTATCTGGCAGATAATTGACAATGGTAATGATGATAATGTTATGGAAAATGGACTATGGACAGGCTTCCGGTTGTATTGTGATCACTGAATTTGTTTCTACATAAGGCTAGACAGCCAGTATTATTGCACTTTTTATTAATGTACTTTTTATTTTAAAACTAATTTTAAAATTAATTTACTGTGTTCTTATATGTAATGACTGTATTCTTTATATATAATGGCATCGAATTGTGCCAGATGTAAGCTGCCCTGAGGGAAGGAAGGATAGAAGGGAAAATGATAGAAGGAAGAAAGCAGAAGAAATCAGAAAGAAACTTCTGCCAGTTTTGGAAACTCTTGTCCTTTGTGGCCAACAAGAACTGGCTTAAGGAGGGAGCAATGATTCAGGACCTGTGACCTCTGAAGAAACTTTGCACAATGATAGTCATTTCAGGGCCCTGTTGAGTTCTTGTGCCACTCCTGAAAAGTGATCTGGGGAGGAAAAAAGTTCCAACCCCTCCCGAATGGTTTTTTTTTTCCTGTCTCCAAGCCTGCTCTCCTCCTCCTGCTGCTGCTGCTGCTCTTTCCCATTCTGAGATGGGGCAGGAGCGGCAGGGGGCGCCCCGAGATCGCAGCCGAAGGGGGAGGGAAGAGAAAGAAAGGGGGCGGGCTCGGGCGGCGCTTCTGCACGGGCGGCAGCCTCCTCCTCCTCCTCTTTCTCAGTCCGGAGAGCAGCCAGGTAAGAGGTGGATGGGCGCCCCGTCGAGGCTGCCTTTACCTGGGCGAGAAGGAGGGCAATGTGTGTGTATATTTGTGGGGGGATCTATTGAATGGGAAGGGAGAGTAGGAGGAAAGGTAGAAAGAAGGAAAGAAAGGCGGAAGAGAGGAAGGAAAGATAGAAGGAAATGTAGAAGGAAAGAGAGGAAAGATGGAAGGAGAGGTAGAAGAGAAGGCGAAAAGGCAAAATAGGGGGGGGGGYACAGAAGGGCAGGTAGAAGGAAGGCAAGAAGGAGAGGAAAGATAGCAGGAAAGGAAGGAAGAAGAGAAGCTGAAAAGGCAGAAGGAGGGAGGGAAGGATAGAAGGAAAAATGATAGAAGGAAAGGTAGAAGGGAGGAAGGAGAGGAAAGTTAGAAGAAAGAAAGGGTGAAAAGAAAGGCGGGGTTGGACTGGATGGCCCATGAGGTCTCTTCCAACTCTTTGATTCTATGATTTGATTCTATGAAAAGGCAGAAGGAGGGAGGGAAGGATAGAAGGAAGTTAGAAAGGAAAGATAGAAGGAGAAGAAGGAGAAGAAAGAAAGATAGAAGGAGAAGGAAGTCTAGAAGAGAGGAAGGATAGAAGGAAAGGTGGAACGAAAGTGAGGAAAGGTAGAAGAATGGAAGGAAAGGTGGAAGGGAGGAAGGAAGGAGAGGAAAGTTAGAAGGAAGAAAGAGTGAAAAGGCAGAAAAGATAGAAGGAAAGGTAGTAGGAACAGAAGGTGGGAAAGCAGATAGAAGGAAAGGTAGAAGGAAGATAAGGTGGATGGGTAAAAGGAAGGAAGGATAGAAGGAAAGGTAGAAGGAAGAGAAGGTGGATGGMTAAAAGGAAGGAAGGGTAGAAGGAAAGGTAGAAGYAAGAGAAGGTGGATGGGTAAAAGGAAGGAAGGATAGAAGGAAAGGTAGAAGGAAGAGAAGGTGGATGGGTAAAAGGAAGGAAGGATAGAAGGAAAGGTAGTAGGAAGAGAAGGTGGGATGGGTAAAAGGAATGAAGGATCGAAGGAAAGGTAGTAGGAAGAGAAGGTGGGATGGGTAAAAGGAAGGAAGGATAGAAGGAAAGGTAGTAGGAAAAGGTGGGAAGGCAGATGGAAGGAAGGATAGAAGGAAAGGTAGAAGGAAGAGAAGGTGGAAAGAAGGGTAGAAGGAAAGGTAGAATGAAGGGGAAAGGGTAGAAGAAAGAAGAGGAAGGAAAGGATGGATGGATGGATGGAAGGAGAGAGAGGAAAGGTAGAAGGAAAAAAGTGGCAAGGCAGAAGAAGGGAGGGAAGGAAAGGAGGGAGGAAGGAGAGATAGAATAAAAGATGAAAAAGCAGAAGGAAGGTGAGAAGGAAAGCCCCAGGGATTTGTGGAGGGGATCTGCACTATTGAAACCCTTTGAATCCATGAAAGACCCCAAAGGGTGCCTAAGATGTAAGGGAGAGGGAGGAAGTCTTATTTGCTGCCTTCTTATTATAGATGTTGTTATTATTATCATTAAGCATGGGTTGGGTGGCCATGTGTTGGGAAGGCTTTGGTTGTGCTTTTCTGGCCTGGCAAAAGGGGGTCAGACTGGATGGCCTTTGGGAGTCCCAACGCTAGGGTTGTCTGATTCTATAGCCCTATTTTTACATGAATCTGCTAATGTCTATGAGGCTGGATGGGCATCTGTCTGGAGGGCTTTGATTGCACTTTCCCTGTCTGGCTGGAGGAAGGGGGTGAGGCTGGATGGCCTTTGGGGTCTCTTCCAACTCTATGGGCCCTTCCAGACAGGCCCTATATCCCAGGATCTCATCCCTGGTTTTCTGCTTTAAACTGGATTGTGTGAGTCTGCACTGCCAGATAATCTGGGATAAACAGAAAATCTGAGATCAAATCCTGGGATATAGGGCTTGTCTGGTTGGACCCTTTGATTCTAATATTAATATAGAGTTTATGGAATGGTATCGTATGAGTAAGGTCTGCTTTTAAATAGTGACTCCCAAGCAACCAGGAGCAACATTTATCCATCATCTAGTAGTGGGGGGGGGGATGATTTAATTGAGAGTCAATAATATTACTGCTAATTATAACATGGTATGGTATGGAGTATAGCATAAGTGAGGTCTGTCTTTGACTCTCAAGCAACCAGGAATGACATTTATCTGGTATTGTCCAATCCCCAGGGGGAGTCATGGTTTAAACAAGAGTCAACAACAACAACAACAACAACAACATGTTTATGGGGTATAGTTTGAGTGATGACTGTCTTTGATAGTGACTCTCAGATAACCAGGAGTGACATTTATCTGGTATTGACCAGTCCCCAGGGGGGTCATGGTTTAAGCGAGAGTCAATAATAATAATAATAATAATAATAATAATAATAATAATAATAATAATAATAATAAGGTATGGGATAGGGTATAGTATGAATCAGGCCTGCTTTTAAATAGCAACTTCCAAGAACCAAAAGTGACATTTATCTGATATTGACCAATCTCCTGCGGGGAGGGGGGGGGTCACAGTTTAAACAAGAATTAATAATAATAACAACAACAACAACAATGTGGTATAGAGTATAGTATTAGTGAGACCTGCTTCTCATAGTGACTCTCAAGTAACCAGGAGTGACATTTATCCGGTATTGACCAATCCCCAGTGTGATCATGGTTTAAGCAAGTCAGTCATCATCATCATCATCATCATCATATGGTATGGGATATAATATGAGTGAGGCCTGCTTTTGATAGTGACTCTCAAGTCACCAGAAATAACATTTATCCAGCATTTAACAATCCCCAGGGAGCCATGGTTTAACAGAGAGTCAATAATAATAATAACAACAATAACAGCAATAATATGGTATGGCATGGGGTATAGTTTGAATGACACCTGTCTTTGATAGTGACTCTCAAGGACATTCATCCAACATTGACCAATCCTCAGTGCGGTTATGGTTTAAGCAAAAGTCAATAATAATACTAAGGTATGGTATGAGGCATAGCAGGCATGGGCAAACTTTGGCCCTCCAGGTGTTTTGGACTACAACTCCCACAATTGCTAACAGCCTGCTGGCTGTTAGGAATTGTGGGAGTTGTAGTCCAAAACACCTGAAGGGCCAAAGTTTACCCATGCCTGGGGTATAGTGTGAGGCTTGTTTTCCATAGTGACTCTCAAGCCTCCAGGAGCAACATTTGTTGACAACACCTAGCAATCCCAGTGGGAGTTCACTGAGCACCTGCTGTAATGCCTTTGTTTCCCCCTCTGCTCCTGAATAGAGATCCGCCTGCAGAAGAGCAGAGGCCCTCGCTCACTAGTGACCATGGCTCCAGCAGAGAAGCTGAAGGCCACCATCAAGCGGACACTCCCGATGACGGGGCCCCAGGCACCCACACTGCGGGAGCTGATGCAGTGGTACTGCATGAACACCAACACGCACGGCTGCCGGCGCATCGTGGTCTCGCGGGGCCGCCTGCGTCGTGCCCTGTGGATTATGCTGACACTGGGGGCTGTGGGCCTCATCCTCTGGTACTGCGCCCAGCTGGTCATGAACTACTACGTAGCCTCCGTCTCCGTCACCGTCCAGTTCCACAAGCTGCCCTTCCCGGCCGTCACCATCTGCAACATCAACCCCTACAAGTGAGTGGCACCTGCCTCACACCCCTGGGATGCAGGTCTCTCCTTTATGGAGGAGTTTAGTCTGAGCTTTGAGGGAGTTCTAGCCAAGGAGAAATACATCCCATTCTGGCCAAAGCAGGTCCAGAAAGAGATGGACAAGACCGAGTTGTTTCCAAAGAAGAGCCACCCAAATGATACAATGTGGGGACTATGAATTGCTCTTAAGGATCTTGGTGGTGTTTTCTTTGGAGAAGTCTTGAAAGGGACATGAAAGCTGTGTTTTAACATTGGAAAGGCGGTCATAAGGACAAGGGAACAGGGTTGTTTCCTGCCACTCACGAGACTGACACAAAGGAGCAATGAGTTCAAACTCCAAGAAAAGAGATTCCACCTAACCTGATGATAAGAGCTGTTGCCTGGAAGTCTGGTTTCATCTCTTTCCCTGGAAGTCTTTTGAGCAGAGGCTGGATGGCCATCTGCCAGGAGGCCTTTGATTGTGTCTTCTGGCCTGGCAGAAGGGGGTTGGTTTGGCTGGCCTTTGGGAATCCCTTCCAACTCTTGTAGAATATAGAATGCCAGAGAGTCTGGTGGATTCTCCTTCTATGAAGGTTTGAAAGTAAGGGCTGGATGGACATCTGTCATGAAGGCTTGGTTGGTGTCGTTCTGCTTGCCGGAAGGCGGTTGAACTAGATGGCCTTGGGGTCTCTTCCAACTCTATGATATTATTATTACTATTATTATTATTAGACTGGATGGCCCTTGGTTGGTGTCGTCCTGCTTACCAGAAGGGGGTTGGACTAGATGGCCTTGGGGTCTCTTCCAACTGTATATTATTATTATTATTATTATTATTATTATTATTATTATTATTAGACTGGATGACCTTTGGGGTTCCTTCCAGCTTATTATTATTGTTATTATTAAACTGGATGGCCCTTAGGCCCCTTACAATTCTATTATAATTATGATTATTAGATGATGGGTTTGGACTGGATGGCCCATGGGGTCCCTTCCAACATTATCATTGCAAGGTGCTGAATCCCCCTCCTCACCTTGGAAGGTTCCTTTAAGTTTTGGACTAAAACCCAGAGTGGCCTGGGAGGCAACAGCTGCCCATCTCTGAGGAAGACCTAAACGTTTGAATTTTGGGTGGAGACTGGTCCGTTCACACCACATTTCCCTTCCCACAGGTACAGCGCCATCAAAGAGCACCTGACGGAACTGGACAAGGAGACCGAGATGGCACTGGAGCTGCTGTACAACTTCTCAGGGAGTCCAATCCGGGAGCGCCGTGACTTGGGCCCTGAAGAAAGTGAAGAAGGCACGAAGGGACACTTCCTCAAGCTCTTTCCCCTTGTGATAGCCAACGAGTTTGACGCCAGGCCCAGAAATAGTTCCTCTGGCTACAAGCGTCGGGCCGATGCCAGCATCTTCCCAGGGAGCTCCAGCATCGTGAACGTCAAGAACCCTGAAGTGGGCTTCCAGTTGGTAAGTAGAAATATCATCTGGACACCTTATAGTCAGCCCAAGGGGACCTGAGGTTGGAAAAGTTGAGCACATTGAGTTGAGAGGGAGTTCATGCAGCTGCAGGTGCCACAAGCTCTCTCTTTGGCTCAGCATTGCTCAGGAAAGGGAAGCAGTGGCTGAAGAGGAACAGAAGAGATGTTCAACAGTGGAACTTCCATGGGCACTCTTATGCAGAGGCCATATGGCTATCTGTCCGGGGGGGGGGGGGGGGATTGTGCTTTTCCTTTATAGCAGAAAGGATCTGGACTGGATAGCCCTTGGGGTGTCACTTCCAACTTTAGCATTCTATGATTCCACACTCGAGAGTCTGGGTTGCCAATGCCTGCTTTTGGTGGTCTTCCTTCTGGCAAACCAGGAACCTGTAGTTTGACCCCTGCAGGGTAAGTTCTGAAGGCCCTCTCTTTCTTTCCTTCCTCTCCCCTTCCCTCCCTCCCTTCTTTTCTTCCTTCCTTCCTTTCCAGTGTGACTCCCAAAACAACACTGACTGTGCCGTTTACAAGTTCAGCTCCGGGGTCAATGCCATTCAGGAGTGGTACAAGCTGCATTACATGAACATCATGGCGCAGATCGATAAGGAGGAGAAGGAGAGGATGAGCTACTCTCCTGAGGAGCTTCTGCTGAGCTGCTCCTTCGATGGCGTCTCCTGCGATGCCAGGTAAGTTCTGGTTTCGATCGGGAGATGTAAAGCGGCAGGGCTAGTAGGGTTTTATTGGGTTTATTGAAGGTGCTGAGGTCCTCTTAGGACACTTGGAGGGCTCTTTTAAAGGGCAGACTGAGCCAGGGTGGTACCATCAATCTCATGAGTGCAGGACCCACCAACATCCCCTGCTTTGGAGTATATCAAGAGGGTCAATAGGAAGATGAGGGATCCTTCCCCAGACCCCTGGGGTCTCTCTCCCCACCATTTTCAAAAGCAGAGCAACTGGGCCCGAGGATTGCAAAATGGATTCAAACGAAATGTGTTTCCAGTTGGAGACGTTAAGCAGGTGCTTCCCTCGAGGGCTCTTGAGGGGGCCAGGGAAGGGGAACGGCACACACCAACTGAGTTCTGTTCGTGGGCTGAATCCATGGGTTTCTTCAATGGCATCTTGAGACTGTGCGCTTAGCTCAGATGGAGTGGATCTCAACCTTTCTGAGAAGTGTACAGCAACTGCACTGAAGTTGTGCATCAAAGTGCCGAATCCTGTTTGCTCAGAGGTCAACCATTGTTACTGGGACCTTCCTTCCAGCAAAGAATCTCAGAGTTTGGTTGATTAATTGTTTGATGGATTGAATATCCTGGCTTTGTTCAGCACAAAATACAAGGCAGCCTGTGTCTGAGTATGTCGTTTAAGTTGCCCGTTGACTCGCATTCATTTCCAAGGTTTTTCTTAAATATGTATGTGTGTATGTGGCCACGTTGTCAACTTACACGGACTGGCTACCACTTTCACAAACAGCTACAGCTCCCACTTCCCAGAAGACATCAATGGCCCTTCCTCTAATAACATTTCAGGTTATGAAAATGTACAAGAGCTCTGCCAAGGTCCTCCACAAACACCATAATGCCCACCAACCACGTGAAGGCTTTCATACAGAGACAATTCCATCCTAGATTTTATGTGTTTCCCCCACCACAGACATCCCAGTGTTTCTTGCTCTCTCCATTGGTGTGGAATTTGCATGACCCCACCCACTGCCTCTCCCATAACCCTTTCCTGTTCTTTTCTATGGCACACAGCAAACAGAGGAATTTGTTATTTGTGTTATAGAAACCTTGTTATTGTAAATAGTACAACTATATTATTTTACTACAAAGAAAAGGAATTGGTCAGCAACTGAATATACTAGAGAGGTTTGGGGAGAATTCACCATGATTTATAGGAGTTGTAGGTCCTGGGATATAGAGTTCACCTGCAATCTAAGAGCACTCTGAACTCCACCAAAATGGACCTGGAACTAACTTGACCCAAAGAAGCCCCATGGCCAAAAATAAAATACTGGAAGTCTTTGGAGGGATTTATAGGAGTTGTAGTTTCCCTACATCTAGAGCGCACTGTGAACCCAAACAATGATGGATTTGGACAAACTGTGGCATGTATACCTGATATGCCCAAATTTGAATACTGGCGGGTTTTGAAGGGAATTGGCCTGGGCATGTAGGAGTGCAGGTACTGGGATTTATATTTCATCTGCAATCAATGAGCACTCTGAACTTCACCAAAGATGGAATTGGACCAAACTTGGCACACAGAGCCCCCATGACCAGCAAAAAATACTGGACGTCTTTGGGGGGAAAGCACCTTGATTTTGGGGGAGTTGTAGTTCACTTACATCCAGAGAGCACTGTGAACTCAAACACCAATGGTTCTGGACCAATCTTGGTACACACACCTGATATGCCAAAATCTGATTACTGGAGGGGTTTGTGGGAAACTGACCATCCTTTCTGGGAGTTTCAGTTCACCCACAACCAGAGACACTGTATCCTCCACCGATGATGGACCTGGACCAAACTTGGCACACAGAACCCCCGTGACTAACTCAACCTACTGGAGGAGTTTGAGGAGACTGTCTCACCATAGTGGGAGTTGTCTTTTACCTTACAGCCAGAGAGCACACTGAACCCCACCAATGATGAATCTAGAGCAAACTTGCCCAACATAATAAACTTTAAGTACTGGTGGAGTTTCTCGGGGTTAACCTGTCATGATGTGAGTTATAGTTCATCCACAACCTTATGCACTTTGTATAATTTAAAAATTGACTTTTTCAAATAACCTGGGCAACGCCAGGTACCCATGCTAGGAAAGATAATAAAAGTTGGATGATCTGTTCATTTTCAAGGAGGCAGAGTCTGAAATAGGGGTGCTGAATCTACTCCGGGTTATAGTTCAGAAATAGTTGGTGATGGAAGATGCCCTCCAGAAAAAAGATCTAGCACCTTGGAGAGCTCCTCTTAATCCCATTTTCTGCCAGATGTCCCTTTACCTATTATTTATAAGATAGCGGTTGTGTTGCCTTCAGGGTCTTTATACTAGGATCCATGGGGTAAAGGAAGCAATGCTGAATTTAAAAATCCCCTCCAAACTCACAAATAGCACCATAAAGTTAAACTTTGTGTAGTGTCTCAACCTGCCATTTGTGTTCCGTGGAACTCTTTGAAGATGGTATTCAAGTCCTTTATTTTTCTTTCCTGGAGAAGAGGTCCAAAAATGTGGACTGGGAAAGAGACTTTATGACGTCTCTTTCCCAGTTCAATGCTTTGCTCCCAATTCAACCTCAGTTCCTTCTCTGCAGGAACTTCACCACCTTCCATCACCCGCTGCATGGGAACTGCTACACCTTCAACAGCGGACAGGATGGGGTGATCCTCAAAACGTCGACTGCAGGAAGCGAAAATGGTAAGGACCAGCTGGGTCATTGGGCAGGGCAAATACTTGCTCTTGACATGCTCAGGAACTCGGGGGACACCAGCAGAAAGACAAATGGCAAATGTATATAATCCCCTTTCTCCAGGTTTTTTATTTATCTGTTTGCTTGCCTTGATTTGTTCTTTGACAGGCTCAAGACATCTCTCAAAATAATAAAAATTCTCTAAAATTATTATTATTATTATTATTATTATTATTATTATTATTTCAACTCCTCACAGGGCATGAAAGGTTGCTTGGATGGCTGGCGTTTCACAAGATGGTGGTATTCAGATGCCAATTTTCTCTCTACTCCTGGCCTATCCCACCTTGGGGATGATCTCTGTTCCTTTGTTTCCTTCTGCAGAATTTCCACTAGTGCCTTTCTGTGTATTTGTTAAAAAAATTTCACTTAGGATGTATCTATACTATAGAGTTACTGTGGTCTAACATTGCTTTAATTGCCATGGCTCAATCCGATTGAATCTTGACAGTTGTAGTTTGGCAAGGTTCTTGGCTACAGAATATGTATCCAAGGATTCCATAGCATTGAGCCATGGCTGTTAAATGAATGTCAAACTGCATCCATTCTACAGTGTAGATCAGGCATGGGCAAATTTTGGCCCTCCAGATGTTATGGACTTCAACTCCCACAATTCCTGACAGCCTCAGGCCCTTTCCTTTTCCCTTCCCGCTTAAGCGGCTGAGGGGGGAAAGGAAGGGGCCTGAGGCTGTTAGGAATTGTGGGAGTTGAAGTCCAAAACACCTGGAGGATCGAAGTTTGCCCATGCCTGATGTAGATGAAGCCCTGCTCCTTAACCAGGTTCAGTGAGCCCTGAATAGTGCAGAATAGTGACTCTTTGACAAAGCCAACATTGCAAGTGCTTGATCCAAAATACCAAGGTTTACCTTTGGTCCCCTCCATTGATCAGTTCCTTTCTCCTGTCCCCAGGGCTGCAGGTGGTCCTGCACATCGATGAGGCTGACTACAACCCCTACCTGGTGACCTCCACGGGGGCCAAGGTGGTCATCCATGGCCAGGATGAGTACCCCTTCATCGAGGACATTGGCACCGAGATCGAGACGGGCACTGCCACCTCAATCGGAATGCACTTTGTGAGTCACCTTGACTTTCTGACCCCCAGCTAGTACCAAACGTCATGGGCCTCTCTGCTGAGAAGGAAGGCTCGGACAATGCTCAGATGCTCTCGTTGCTGGGCAGTGGAGTTTCCTCCTTAGGTTGGAGGGCACAAGAAAGCTGCCCCTCTCCTTGCCCTGCTGACCTCTGCCTTTATGCCCCCAGACCACCTCCCAGCGGCTCAGCAAGCCCTACAGCAACTGCACAGAGGATGGTTCGGATATACCTGTGGAGAACCTCTACAACAAGAACTACTCTTTGCAGGTGGGACAGAGGTCCTGATCCCCCACCCATCAGTCCCAAGGCAGCCTCTATAAGGGCCAAACTGGTGGTGCGGGTTTAGTGACTGGCAACCCATTGACTCCCACTGCTTTCCCTCTGCAGATCTGCCTGCATTCCTGCTTCCAGAAGCTGATGTTCAAGACCTGCGGCTGTGCCCAGTACGCTCAGCCTCCACCAGCCGGAGCCCAGTTCTGCAACTACAAGAAAAATCCAGACTGGAGTGAGTCTCTGTTAGCTCCCTTTCTATGATCTGGATTTTCATGATGGGGGTCTCCTGTCTTGCCTTTTCTTAACCTTTCTCCCTCCCTACCTTCCACAGTGTATTGCTACTACAAGCTGCATGAGCGGTTTGTGAAGGAGCAACTGGGATGCCAGGAGACCTGCAAGGAAGCCTGCAGGTAAGGCCCAATCCCAGCCTTTGACCAGTGGGATCCCCAGGTTGTAGTCCTTGTTTAATGACCTGTTCTCTCTGCAGCCTGAAGGAATGGACCCTCACCACCAGCCTGGCCCAGTGGCCCTCGACTGCCGCTGAGGTGAGCATCTCAGCAATAATTCTTGGCTGCCTTGGCATTTCTGGTGCATTTTGCATGAAAATATTGGGGAAGGATCAATGAGGAAGTCCCTACTGACCTTAGGGTGGGATTTAGCCATTCCTCTAGACAAATAGCCAAAGAGTGCCGGATTTTAGGGGCTTTGAAGCTCAGGAAGACAAATGGGTTGGCAAAGCAACGGAAGAGCGCAAGGAAGAGGGACTTTGTGGTCCTTGGTAAATGGCACAGGGGTTGTGGGACAATAAATAGGGGCCTTGAGAATTAAGTGTGGCCATACTGACCCTGATTTGATTTCGCCTCAAGGAGTGGATGCTCCGCGTTCTCTCTTGGGACCAAAGGATGAAGAACAAGACATTAAACAAGTAAGTCACACAAAAGAAAAGCATGCAGGCTCTCTCTCCTGATTTCCCTGCCTGCACCTGGCTTCTTCTTTTTTCCTCCTTGACCATATTCTCCATTTTACCCCCAGGACGGACTTGGCAAACCTTATTGTTTTCTACAAGGACCTGAACGAGAGGTTCATCAAGGAGAACCCAACAAACAACGTGAGTTTTGAATGGAAGGGGACTCATTGGCTCCCACTGTTGATCTTGCAGGAGGACAACGAAGAGGGTTAAGGTCCAGGTGACCATTCCTCTATCTCTTGGAGAGGTCATATTCCCACTTGCCGCAGACCTAGAGTGGTCTGAGTCGCATTAAATGCCCTTTTCCCTGCCAGGTGGTTCTCCTCCTGTCCAACTTCGGTGGCCAGCTGGGCCTCTGGATGAGCTGCTCAGTGGTCTGCGTCATCGAGATCGTGGAGGTCTTCTTCATTGACACCTTCTGCATCATCCTGCGCCGCCGCTGGCAGAAGACCAAGAAATGGTGGCGGGGCCGGAAGGGTGAAGATGAGGAAGAGGAGGAGAAGGAAGGGCAGGAAGGGGGAGGAGGAGAGGCCTCTGGGCCGTTCCCAAGGATCCAGGGCCATGACAACCCAGCCTGTGATGTCCAGGAAGAGGACAATGAGGAGGACAATGACCTGCCCACCTTCAACACGGCCATGCGCCTGCCCCTCCCACCAGAAAACCCAGCCCCGCGGACCCCTCCGCCAAACTATAGCACACTCCGGCACTCTGGTGCCTATGCTGCTGGGCAGCCCCCTGAGACCCTGGAGGTCAGGACCCAGTAACCCCATTGCTGACCTCATGGGGAGGGGAGGAGGATGGGCCGCCCCTTGGGTGCCAGCCCATTGCCCTGACTTGCAGCCAGAGGAGGAAGTAACATCGCTTTCTCAGGAACCTTTCAGCCGGACTCAAATGAGGGCCCACCGCTTTCCAAAAGTCTCTGTGATGTTCTGGAGGGAATTGTAAGATTAAAGGGAATGCTTCTTGACTTCAAAATTCCCACATAAGAGGAATGGCCATAAAGGAGCACCCAATGTATCTTTGCCACCCTGCTGCTGCTCCAACCCAAATGGAGTAAGAAGGATCTGTTTCGTTCCAAAAGAGCCATGCTGTTCTTTCTACTCGTCATTGTTGCTATAATATCTTGGACCCAAGGTGTGGTGAAGAGGTGTATTTAATAAACTTTTCTCAGGACACTTTCTGCTTTCTTCCTTGGGGGGCTGCGGTGGGGTGGTGGGAGGCACCCTCATGCTCAGAGCTGATCCCAGCTCCAAAAAAGAGAGAGATTAAGGTAGGGAATGCCTGAAGACTGCCTGCACTTTGAGTTAGGAAGGCTCCAATGCTGGAGATGCACTAAAGCCTCCCTGGCCCATTCCTTCCTCCTGAATTCTTCACTGTTAGCTAGCCTTGCTGGAGCAGACAATAATACAACTATACTTGGAGTCCCACAGGTCTTCTCCTATCCTTTTCTAGCCTTTATGTGCCAAGACAGATACATGATTCAACTGCAGTGAAACTTTCTGCCCCGAAGTGAGTGTGGTGGAGGCTCCTTCTTTGTAAGCTTTTAAACAGAGGCTGGATGGCCATCTGTCAGGGGTGCTTTGAATGCAATATTCTTGCTTCTTGGCAGGAGGTTGGACTGGATGACCCATTAGGTCTCTTCCAACTCTATGATCCTATGCTATAATTCAATCTACAAGGCCTTGAGACTGACAGTTTCATTGAGGTGGTAAATTCTGAGGGAGAGAGCTCCAGTTGAGAGAAGTATTGTGATGAGGTATATATCAATAATAATTTTTTTTGTGTCAGGAGCGACTTGAGAAACTGCAAGTCACTTCTGGTGTGAGAGAATTGGCCTTTTGCAAGAACGTTGCCCAAGGGACGCCTGGATGTTTTGATGTTTTACCATCCTTGTGGGAGGCTTCTCTCATGTCCCCATATGGGAAGCCAGACCTGACAGAGGGAGCTCACCCACGCTCTCCCCGGATTTGAACCTCCGACCTGCCGGTCTTTAGTCCTGCCGGCACAAGGGTTTAACCCTTTGCTCCACCAGGGGCTCCTGATGATGATGATGCATTTATTACTCACTTTCCCTTGTGATATGACCATAACCCTTTGGCCACTTCCCATGTCTTCCTACCTGAAAGCCTGTGAAGGAGGGATAGCTTCGTATGGAAATGGTAGATAGGGAAATGGTTAATCGACCATGTTGTTCCTCCAGACCCAAGGTCTGGGCTCCTAAACTCTTTGCTGGAATGCCTTCCTAAAAGTCAGAGCTTTAGGATGGTTGGGAGAGCGGTGAGTGAGTCCTTCTGACCCAATAGAGTCACCGCAGTGCCACCATTTGTTCCTCCTTCTTTGTCACTTGCAAAGAATGAGGAGATGGAAGGAGGCCCAGAGCCTCTCCTTGACTTCAGAGGCAGAAGCAGCCCTGTTTTTCATTTTCCTGGTACAAGAGATGGAGGAAGATGTGGAGCAAGTTCTACCAGCTGCTGATGTTGAGGGCGATGACCTCACGGAGGTGGCTTTCCACCTCAGTCCTTGTGTTAACCAGGTCAACATGCCACCTAGACACTTCCAGAGAATGAAGACAGCTGGGCTAACATTCCCAGGTCATAGCGCAGCTGGAGAGAAAGAAAGCAATGTCCCTCCTTGTAGAGGTGATAGCTTTCCACAGCTTGGCTTGAACTGGGAAAGTGCCAGAACTGGTAGCGTATCTGGGACCTTCCAGGATTTGGAAATGGGTTCCTGGGAGGGGAAGCCCCATTCTGGTTCTGCCCAAGATCTCCTGCTCTTTTGCCAAAAAGAGCAACCCAGAAAACCACAACAAACGGGGTCATGGTAGAGTGAGTCAAGGTAAGGTCCCTCCTGCTCCAAAGACAACAAAGAAGGAAAGTAGCCGCCCAGAACCAGATTCAGAGCAGCCGGAACAAAAAGGCCATCAGCAGTCATCTTTCCCTGGGCCACTGTTTTTGCAATCGAGGGGTGGAGGAAGGAAAAACTAAGGCCATATTTTAGAAATGTGTAGAATGATGTTTTCATGTATCAAAAGGAGTCTAGTGTCATAACTGAGGGAAGTCATGGCCCACTCTTCTGCTTTGATCAGACCTCACCTGGAATGATATCCCTTTGTCCAGTTCTGGGCACAATTCAAGAAAGGTATGGAGAAGATGGAAGGTACCCAGAGAAGGGCCACCAAAACAGCCAAAGGTCTGGCCTCCATGACTCCCTCAGAGGAGCAGCTGATGGAGCTGGTATGATAAGCTTGGAGAAGAGATGGCTGAGAGATGGGGACATGAGATCCATGTTTATATATTTGAAAGGACGTCCCATTGAGGAGCCCCCAGTGTCACAGTGGGTGGCGCAGTGGGTTAAACCACTGGGCTGCTGAACTTGCTGATCGAAAGGTCGCAGATTTGAATCCAGGGAGCGGCTGTTGTTAGCCCCAGCTTCTACCAACATAATAGTTCAAAGACATGCAAATGTGAATAGATCAATTGGTACCGCTCCTGCGAGAAGGTGACAGCGCTCCATGCAGTCATGATGGCCACATGACCTTGGAGGTGTCTATGGACAACGCCGGCTCTTTGGCTTAGAAATGAAGATGAGAACCAATCCCCAGAGTCAGAAACGACTGGACTTAATGTCAGGGGAAAACCTTTACCTTACCCATTGAGGAAGGGGGAAGGCTCGTTTTCTGCTGCTTGTGAGAGTTGGGCACAATAGAGTAATGGGCACAATAGAGTAATGGGTTTAAATGGCAGGAAAAAAGAACTTCCTGGTGGTCAGAGCTGTTCAACTTTGGAAAAGGCTTCTACCTGGGAGTCCAATAGAGTTTCTTTCTTGGGATGTCTTTAAACAGAGTCCGGATGGCCATCTATCAGGAGTGCTTGGATGGTGTCTTCCTGCCTGGCAGAATGAGGCTGAACTGGATAGTCCTGGGGGTCACTTCCCACTCTATGAAGCTGTGAATCATGCTCATGAAAATCCCCCAGGGAGACCTGCAAAATGGACAGTTGGCCACAAACACCTGCAAAGTTTGCAGCCTTCCTGCTACTGAGAATTGCAAGCCATATGCCACTCAGAAAACAAGACATCCCTTGCCCCCTGCAGGGGTACTCAAAGGCCATTGGACACAGAGGAAGGGGGAATGCGGTCTGGAGAGACCATATGGGGTCACCTTTTGCTTCTGTCCCATTTTCCTATTAATGGGAGCAAAGGCCATATTGATGGATCAGCCAGGAAGGGATACGGGATTTTGGGGAAGCCAAGCAGACCCATTTCCAAGGGCAGGAGCCTCTCTTCTGCCGGCAGCAAGACTTCGAAGGCTACAAACACAGCTGCAGGGTTTGTTAGTCCCCCAACATTTCTGTTCATTGAAATTTGAGAATTTCTGTTGTGGAAACAGCATTGTCCTTAATTGACAGAAACATGCTTATCAGGTTTACTGATAGCATTTGAAAGAATGATTACTTTCTCAGCTGCGGGATCTTCCCGTCAACTCCACTTGAGCCACTGTGTTTGCTGAAAATATTTGTGTTCCACTTTTACAAGACAAAGAACATCCGGGTAAGAACAACATAAACACAGATGAAACAATTTAAAAACAAATCCAGAAAGCAAACAATATGAAATGGATACTCTCAATAACATAGCAGAAAACATTGCCATAATAGAAGGTCAGAGACATTGTTCTATTGCCATGCAAATAAAATCCTGTTGCTGATGCTGGAGCACCTTGAGGGCACGCATCCAGCACCACAGGGAGGAATTAACTGGGGGAAAGGCATGGTTACCCTTTCTTTGTTGCAGCCATTGTTTGGAATTGAAAAGCAGCCTCCAGCTCCAGGGCGGCCATTGAGTTTCTATTGAGGTGGAGCCGGAATCTGGATCCTGCAAAGTCCATTCTGTTTACAAGAAACTGCATGGTCTGTGGCACTTGCTGTAACCCATCCTTGCTCCTGGTAGCATAATGGATTAAACTAGTGGTTCTCAACCTTCCTAATGTCACGACCCCTTAATACAGTTCCTCATGTTGTGGTGACCCCCAATCATAACATTGTTTTTGTTGCTACTTCATAACTGTAATGTTGCTACTGATATGAATCGCAATGTAAATATCTGATTTTCAAGAATGTATTTTCATTCACTGGAGCAAATTTGGCACAAATACCTGAAACACCCAAATTTCAATACTGGTGGGGTTGGGGCGGGGGGTGGGTTGATTTTGTCATTTGGGAGTTATAGTTGCTGGGATTCATCAATCAAAGAACACTACAAACGCCACCAACAATGGAATTGAACCAAACTTGGCACACAGAACTCCCATGACCAACAAAAAATACTGGGTTTGGTAGGCATTGACCTTGAGTGTTGGAGTTGTAGTTTATCTACATCCAGAGAGCACTGTGGACTCACACAATGATAGATCTGGACCAAACTTGGCATGAATACTCAATATACCCAAATGTGACCACTGGTGTAGTTTGGGGGAAATAGACTTTGACATTTGGGAGTTGTAGTTGCTGGAATTTATAGTTCACCTACAGTCACCAAAAATAGAATTGGGCCAAACTTCCCACACAGAACCCCCATGGCCAACAGAAAATACTGTGTTTCCTGATGGTCTTTGGAGACCTCTCTGAGACCCTCCCTTATGACCCCCACAGGGGTCCCGACCCCCAGTTTGAAAAACACCGGGTTAAACCCTTGTGCTGGCAGGACTGGAGACTGACAGGTCAGAGGTTCAAATCTGGGGAGAGCATGGGTGAGCTCCCTCTGTCAGCTCCAGCTCCCCATACAGGAACATGAGAGAAGCCTCCCACAAGAATGGTAAAACATCAAAACATCCAGATGTCCCCTGGGCAACGTCCTTGCAGACGCCCAATTCTCTCACACCAGAAGTGACTTGCAGTTTCTCAAGTTGCTCCTGACATGAAAAAATATCCTTGCGCTTCAAAAAAGCACCCAAAATATCGTCACGCGACCCTTTGTTTGGAGTCCCTTGACAGTTGCAGTTTGGGGGGAATGGCATGGCAGAAAGACTGTCCAATTGTTGTGGTTCTGTTTTTCCATGTTTTCAACCTGCTTTTAACTTGGGCTTTTTAAAGATAGATACGGATTGCATTTTAACTTCAGTACTATGCATTTTTAAGATACAAAAAGTTGTATGAGAATACTAAACAATCAAATGCTA